AGACGTAAGGTAAACATTTATCTTTTGTTTTATTGTTTACCGTTTTTACTAAAATATGATAAAATATGATTTAGGTAAGAAAGAGCGGGATCTCCTGACACAAGTATTCAATTACGTAATAGGAAGGTCTCAACCTCTGTTTTGTTTGTTATGCCGATTGTACTTCAATAAAAACTTTTTGGTTTTTTTATTTCTGTAATTAATTTGTTTTACATTGACAAGCTGCAATTTATCAAAGCTGCTTCAATTTCTAGTGATAACACACAAATCAACTAGATGGCGCTTATTTGCTTATTGCACAGATTTTAAGAATAGTGCCGACTGTTCTTTTACTTGTATCAACTCTCAGCATCTACCCATATAAGGAAGCGTTTATTTATAAATTAATTTAAACTATTGACACGCATATTTGTCAAAGTGCAGAAAATAATTTTAACTCATACTAAATGAATAACTATACTAGGAAAAAAAGTGAGTTTTTATATTTCATACTATAAAGGGATTAATTGATACCCACGGTCTTTTACATGATATAAACTACTTCCAGGCTATTAATCAGCGTCATCTAGGTACAATCGTAATTTTGACCTTTTTCAGAGTTATGATCTGTAAAATGGAGATTAGCATTCATCTTCAGTTATTGCTCCACGGTTGTAGTAATATTCTTTACGACCCCTGAGATGTCAGCGATTGGAAGGCTACACGTATAAGGTAACAGTATTTACATTCGTTGAAATGAATTGCAGGTGTTGACAACCCTCCGCGAGTACCCGTGCCTTGGCGGCTGCGCCCCGCTGCACGCGCTGGTGGCCGCCGCTTGCCGCGCCGCCTGGACCATCAGCCTGCACTCGCCACCGCTCCGGATCGACACAGACTTCACACCGGGTGTGTACTTCTTCTTTTACCATTATATCTTATTGGAGATTGGTTACCGTTCTCGTATGGGGTAGTGGTAATACCTTTATTATATAAATTTATTAGGCCTACTCGTTGCGTTTTAGATTAGAAGTAGCGTGATATTATGAGAAAGTAACAATCATATTTTTTTTATTAAAGAAAACAACCTTAAAAACTTGTGGAAATACATTTACTCCATTGACTTATTTACTCGCTAAGTTTTATTGAACTCAGTTAACGGAAAGTGGGCGAAATCCAATAAACCAGATTCACCTCCTAGTTTGCCTAGTAGTTAGAGGTGGAATATTTTCCCCAAATTTGAATGGGGCCACTAATGAGGAGCCCCCTTTCCAACGAAAAAAGAATCACCGAAATGGCTTCACAAATGTCGGAATAATCATACACACAAAAAGATACTGTCGAATTAGGAACCTCGGTCTAGGTCTCGGTCTATTTTTTTTGAAAAAATAGATCGAGACCTTGTTAGCCACGCCTTATCTCATACTCAAAAACAGTCTGTAGCGATCGCGTAAGGACGCGTACCTCACGTACTTCTATGCAGATATACTTCTGTTCTCTTTACGTTTTTTATAACATTTCTTTGAATTTCTCTTTAGAATAGTCTGTTTATTTTTCAGTGGTGATGGACCCAGAGAAGCACGTGCGCTTCACGGTGGGGGACGGGCGCGAGCGGCGCTCCGACCTCATCAAGTCGTTCGTGTGGCCGGCACTTATGGACGGCAACCGCTGTGTCTTTCGCGCCGTTGTTCTCACTTAGAACTTTCTGGAATATTCGAGAACTTTCTAGAATGAATTATTCTAGAAAGTTCTCGAATATTGCGAGCATTAACAGTATTTATTAGTCTGTCGATTTTAATATATAATAAATAATATTTTTTATATATTAACAAATAATAAATTTTTAAATAGATTATATTGTTTACTTGAAAAACAGATAATGATGTAATTAATACACTCAGACGTTACTGTGCGGGAGTCCATGTTATTTGCTATTTCGCGAACTCAGCGGTGCTTAAATTGTGCAAAATAATCGCGCTTGTGTTGAATACTCTTTCATGCAGTTAATTTTCCCACCCTTCCTTCGCATAAAATTAATAAAATAAATAAAACAGTCACAGACACCACCGCCAAAAATACACACGATAGAGGGTTGATTGATTGTTCGATGCTTGGCTGAAATCTTTGCAATTTTGCCCGATTTAACTCCACTGCGATCGCGGAGTAGCAAATTAATTGACTTCTATTTTTAGACAATGTTCGATGTTTCAATTAAATTAAATAAGTTAAAATGACGAAGAAACGCCGTTAATCGTTTAGAATAAACGTTGATAAAAAGTAACTATAAACGTCTCTTAAAGGTGCTCTAAGATATTTTGTATAAGTTTTATGCCAACGAGCATTAACAATAACGACGATATTATTATGAACATGATAACATTAATCCTTTTTATCAAAATGTGGATTCTTTCAATAAATTTGTACGTAAACATATATTTTATTATGATTAATATACATTGTACTTCATTTATTTGCCCGACCAATTTAAGGGAGGGGTAACGACACTTCATTAGAAGTCAATGTTAGTGTAATCATAAATTTTCTTTGTATAATTGTACAAATACATTAATTCTTTAAAACTACAATTAGATGCGCTACTAATTTATTTACTTCGTTAGTATTTTATATTCGATGTGTACTTTTTGTTATTAAATATTCATTTTACACAATAATTAGCAGTTTCTTTGTTTTAAGAAGCCAAGACATCCCGAATAGACTTGTGTACCTGCAAAGAACTGATATGAATGAAGAAAGCGAAAAAAGTGTGTGACAATCCTAACAAGAGGTGGTTCGTAATCTTGTCCCACCTTTAAAAGATTGGTGAGAAACTATACGTGTTTTCTTTGTTTTGTTGTGCATATTTTAACATATATAATGACGTAATTCGTATATGATTCAAAAATATAGTGAGTAACTCAATAATTCCTACAGAATTTATCGAACGTTGTTATCAATGATAAGATACACCCATTCAATATAAAGCGGACTTGCGATACCAAAGATATCAGTATCGTATATTGTTCAAGGATCGGTAGTGAAACAAAAGTGACAATGAGTAAATACCCTCATGGACCACCACCGCCGTACTATGGAGGCTGGCCCCCACCACCACCACATGATGGCTATCCGCCACATCTCCAACCCCCTCCCCCTGACGGTGGGCAAGTAACTGTCCCTCCAGGACCGTACCCTTATTACGTTCCTGGAGCGGTCATGTTTCCCGTGCCCATGGCTCCAATGCCCATGCCAATGCCCGTACCTCCACCAAGCGAACCCCCTTCCAATCCCACCTATATAACCAACTACATATACCATGGAGAAACTTCTAATCAACCTCAACAACCGGCAATTGAAGGAATGGCGCCTGAATTCGGAGAATGCAATTGGGTGCCTACAACAGCTACTACGGCAGCGTATCTTACTGGTCAAGCCGTCGTCGGTGGACGCGAAGGATGGGACGGAAGCCCCCTATGGGTCATTCGAGCTTGGCATAATGATAACTTGATTCCTGGAAAATTCTCCATAAGACATAATACGGCATCAGTTTCTTATAACATGAAGGAAGTCCCGGTTCAGAACATTGAAGTCCTCATCGCAAAGCCTGATAGCTTCCGATGGATTCCAGCGACGAGAGGAAATGTGCCGCCCGGAGCTTTACCTGGAGGAAAAACTGTATCCGGAGAAACGTTGTATATTGGGAGAGCGAAGTACCAACTTTCGATAACTCCTGGAAAAGTGCAACCCTCTCACAACTGCTGCTACATTCCGTTTGCGGGTAGCGAAGTTGCACAGACAATGTATGACGTGCTGTGTAAAATATAACGGAATGTGATTGATGGAAATAATTGTGATGTGATGGACAATTCGATACACGTATTTGGATATAATTTACGAAGACTTTTCAGTAAAGTTAAAAAATCTAGGTTTTTTTGTTTAAACGCTGTAAGAAATAAATGTTGCGCAACAATATTCCGTCTTTTCTTCGTATCTGATTCAAGGATAAGTTATCGCAGTAACTTGGCGTTTTATTTGTTTTATCTGGTAACTGATAAACGTGGTCAAAGTAGCGCAGTATATTGTGGATAATCGACTTGTACCAATATTATTGATTACTCAGTGTTGATTCGGAATTTGTGACGCTTTTAAATGTTTGCTAACTTCTGTTAGCAAACATTTAAAAGCGTTAAAAACGCGTTAAAAGCGTTAAAAACAGAGCTATTTTACTATTACACTCGATTGCCTTTTGAAACTAAGTACATAAGAGACTGAAAGAACTGATCTAGAGAAAGGCAAGAATTAATAAGACAAATGAGTTATAATTTTTTAAAATATTGTTGAAATTGTTTGATAAATATTGTGTTTATTATCTTTAGTATCATTGCAGTCCTTTAATATAAATGCTTCACGTGTCGGATTAAATGACATCACCTCTTCAATTGACTCCATTCAGCGCTTTAAGTTTCATGCTCTCTCTCGCAAGTGACGGGACGGACAAGTCGTCCTGGTGGTAAGCGACACGCCTGTCCATAACAGTTGCAGTGTCACTCAGGGTTTTAATCGCAGAGATCTGAGGGGCACTGCCACTGAGTCATAAGTTGACAAGTCCCATCCCTGTCCCTTGGCGACAGAAATGGGAAAGGTGGCATTATTTCATCCTGGACGAGCTCTTGCACAATGACCTCTACTGCTATTACATTTTAATAAATCGATTTTAAGCTCTATATTCTAAGAGTTAAATGCGTTAATAGATGTACTAGTTGAGGGTTGTAGGGTCTGGTTAAGACCAGCTAGAAAGAAAGTTCATTCAGTCTATGTTTTACCTATTACTAAAGTAACTATACCCGGAATGCGTTGTAGTATCCTTGAACATTTTTGAAGTCTCCAACTCACATCGGGCTAGCGTGGTGGGCTATGGTCATGGATCTGTCCCTGATAGTCCCATATCTTTCTACATAAGTTTTGTTTATAGTGCCACTCTCTATCAAGCTCTTGGTTATACGCGAAGGGCACAATGACCTGTGCGAGCGAGGACCATCTAAGTCAGGTCCTAATCCACGTTTGCACGGACTTCATCCGGTTCTCTCTAAGGCTAGTGCCTTAGGTGGGCCGCCCCGCGCGTACGTACAGTACCCTCCCTATTTTCTCTCTTATCTCACTTCCCGTCGCGCTCCGCACGACTAACGGTTGCTATCGCTGAGCCGCCGACTCTAAGCCGACTACCAAATCTCCTCATTGGTGCCTCACAGTGGGATCTAAAACTTTAGAAACTTTTGTGGGCGTGAGTGCCAGTAACGGGACGAGCAAGTCGTGCGCCTGGTGGTAAGCGAGACTCATGTGCCTGTAATTTCACCAGCACATTTCAAAACCGAATCGCAGTAATGCTAACATTAATGCTTGGCGGCAGAAATAGGTAAGGTGGCAGTACTTCCCTGGACGACCTCTTTCGCGAGTAACTCTACAGCTACTAGACTACTGTGAATGAATAATAGGATACACACGGGACAACTACAGATACATTCATTTTCTTATAAATATAATATAGATTAGAACAAGTTTACAAAATGCCAAAACCGAGGGGGAAACCAACACGAAAATATTTTAGCTATTCAAAGGGGAAACCTTGCCAGTCAACGCTGCGTCGGCGTAATGCGCGTCTCTCAATGAAATTCTGTTCGTTTTTTCCCTTCTTTGTTTAACAAAGATTGTTAGTATAATAATTCCTTATATTTATATAATGTAAATAGTGTTTATCTACATAAATTGAACGGCAACAAATATTACATGTCTTCGTACTCATTTCTCAAGTTATTCAATCGAGGAATGATCGTAATCGTTATTTCTCCCGCATTTGCATCGTCATCAACAATCATAATTTTTGCAGATTAAGTTTTTAACTGGAATGGCATAATTAGAAAGCTAAGAAAGAAGCAGGTGACCAAAAATATATAAATTGAAATTCTGCTCTCTCAGCTGGAGCTGGAACATCAGGCCCTTCTCCTAAAAAATACGTAAAAGTCAGAACGCTATTTCGCGATTTCTTAACCAACGGAGCAATATGAATGTTTTGAAATTTCTTAAAGGTATTTCTAGCACAAATTTGTAAGTAATATGATGTTTATTTCTTCCTGCCTCTGTGGCCAAACGGTTACTGCCACGCAGAGGTCCCACGTTCGATTCCCGGGCCGGGAGAAAATATTTGTATGGCCTACATTCATTTCTCTTGTTGGATGTAATTAGTGGTTGTCTATGTGTGTGTCCATGGCACCCGCGACATAGGGTTTCCCTAGTGCGGGGCTATGTTGAGTGTGTGCGTTATTATTAATCTTGTTTTTTAATTTTTTTATATAAAATAAAATTAATGTGTTTCATACACATAGTTAAAAAAAACTGCATTAGTGACCAATATGTTATTAGACAATCCCTTACTTCACCCACGCCTACAGATAATGACTTCATAGGGCACACGAAACGGACCTACAGCAAAGTTCAAACCCTTCAGCAAAACTGAATAAGCGGGCTGATTTAATGTATAGACCTGTGTTATATTAATTTATAAAAAAACAATTATTAATTTATCAACCAAATGATCAAATCAGTGTACTTGTTAAGTTTTGTGGAAGGGTTGGAGCTTTGCTGTGGGTCCTCGTCAACATGTTATACTAATCATTTTCAGTCGGTTGCAAAATATTTTCATAAATTGCCAAGTAGTTCAATAATTAAATTATTACTTAAATGATTTGCAAAAAGGTGGTGTTGTTTTCGTTAC